TGGGCCAAGTACCAGGTCCTTCCCAGCTGAGACCCAGAGCAGGGACAGCAGTACAGCTGACACCTGCAGAACCTGGGGGAGCCAGGCCCTGAGCCCGCGCTGCAGCATGTTCCACAGGACCCTGTGGAGCTCAGCAAGGCCGCACCTTCTCCTACAGGGTCTCTCCTGACCTTTTCCTAGGGAGACCTAACTTCGTGTCCACCGGAACAGGAAATGCAGGAAAAGGGCCTAGACATGTTGTCATGGAGAAAGCTATGTAAAGTGGGCTTAGAGCTGTGAGGTACAATGCTTGGGTCACTAGTGCAGGTACTTGGATGCTTGCTGCCGTGGTCTTTAAGAAAACTAGAGCTAATGCATGTAAGTATTTACATGGTTTTTGTCATGGAATTAGTCCTTTGAATCAGACATGGAGACAAAAGTCTTACACTGTTTGTGAGGAGTAAATTAAATAATAGCAATACACTGTTGTCCCTTAGCTTCAGTGTGGCTGGTGCCTGGTCCACTTTGAAGAAATGTAGGTCAGAGGTACCCAACCCCAGCCCCATGGTCTGTTAGGAACAGGGCTACTTAGTAGGGGGAGGATGTGCGAGCCAGCAAAGCTTCATCTCTGTATGCAGACCTTCTGCATCACTGGCATCTCCACCTGAGCTGAGCTCCACCTCCTGTCAATCAGTCAAATGAATCAACCAATGAAAGATTGGATTCTCATAGGAGTGCAAACCTCCTGTGATCTGCACATGCAGGGATCTAGGTTGAGGGCTCCTACTGAGACTGTAATGCCTGATGATCTGAGATGGAGCTGAGATGGTGATGCTAGAGCTGGGGAGCAGCTGTGAATACAGAGTAACACAGCAAAGAGGTCTGACTGCACAGAGACCATCAAAAATAAACTGCCCGTGGGCTTGTTATCAGAACTTATCAGTGGGAGGCAAGTGACGCTGCATCTGGTGGCAGATTTTAAGCCAGAATTCAACACCTATTTTGGTCCATGGGTGGCCACCTATTATTTTATCACTTCTATTCACACCTAAGTACACAATAAATATAATGCATTTGACTCATCCCAAGATCAACCTCCCATGGAAGTATTGTCTTCCATCAGACTAGCTCCTGCTGCCTAAAAGATTGGGGCCCACTGTTATAGATCTCAAGTTTGTCACTCCCTTTGTAGTGTGCTTGCATATCGAATGCTAATTAACAACTCAAGCTGTGCATACAATTCTAGGTAGTAGCTCTCACCACAAACCCTAGAAACTCCAGAGGCAACTTTTGAAGGCTCCTGAAACCAATTTAGTGGATATAGAGTTACCTGTTACAAAGACAAGTAGAACAGAATGAAAAGCATTCATGTATCTCAGTATAGACATACTTGGTTTGTAAAATGTGCACAGATGTGGTCAAGATGGCACGACCAGAGGTCACAGTCAAAAGCAAATTGTTAAGATCTTTACGTGGTAGGCTCTAACCCTTGTCACTTTGTCTTCCTTTGCCTCCACTCTAGGCCTGAGCTTCACTAGGACGTAAAATGCTCCTATGAAAGATCTTATAGGTTTCTTTTGGGTATAAGTTGGCCATGTTCTTGATAATCTGAGTCCTTTCTGCTACTCCACAGAAAATAGAAGGATAAATTCCCCCCAGTATGCAACCGACAGTATTTTGTTTTCATAAATCAGGAGTGACCTTTACGGACAACTAGCCTCGCTGTCTAATTATTGCCAGGATAAAAGAAGAGTATGAAAGCCGTAATTTGTAGAGACTTCATTAACATTTAACTGGCTTATAGTTTTCACTGTAGTAAAAAGTGATCATGTGCCAGTAATTCGGTCACGTCTGCAGCCGTGTTGTCTTGGGGTATGCCAGAACTGAGCCTGCTGTTCTGTGGGGCTGTGGAAGACTGTCTTCACGCTCGCGTGGCATCCTTTGTACTTCCTCTAAACATTTTCCAGGCGCAACTGCAGCCAGATTCAACATAGACTTAGGAGGAATTCATTCGCCCATTCTTTCCAAAAGCGTTTATTGGGTGCCTGCCGTGTACCAGCCCTGGGAACTTCCAGGGTCACTAAGATCCAGTTAGACTCAGCATTGCTTCACAGCACAATTTTGACCCGGTCTGGGGGCTTTGAGAAACCTGTTCTTTAGCGCTCCAGTTTTCAGAAAAATAGCTGGGAGTGTCTGACTCTGCAGCCTGAGTACTTTGGAACCGCACAAAATTACCGTGGAAATCAGAAGCTTAACTGTTGTCTCTTTAATTGATTATTTCAGTTCTGATGTAGTCCCTTTTGAGCTCATCTTATTTCAGCTCAAAAGCCCATCCTTGCCAATTCAGGAGTCCAGCAATAAAGGTTGTTGTGTGGGGGATGGCTACATCCTAATGCAGGAGGACATTCATAGTGATCCCCGTGTCAGGGGGCTCCATAATCATACGTGAGTCCAGAAAGAGCCGTAACGTACTCTTTACGTTGCCCTTCACGTGATGAGAACAGGTGTGTGTACCGGGAGTGGTAGTGCTCTCACCCGCCCTGTGCTGGCCTTCTGGGCTCGCTCCTCGCTCTGCACGCGCTTGCCATGCCTTGGTTCAGCCTTCAGTGCCAACAGTCATTCTGCAATCCAGGGAGTGTTCCGGGCTTTTGGAGAGGAATTTCCTACATGGGAGGTGCACGTCCGTGTAAGCAGAACCATCTGATGTTTTTCTGAGCACACATTCCTGTTTCTTGCTGTTCAGGATTGCACTGTAAGACTTGCATCACAGAGCTGTGTGTGTTTCCGCTGGGTCCCTTTTTCCATCAGAATGGATGATTATTTCATTCTTTTTGATGGTTATTAGGGCCACTGCTGTTCAGGCTTGTTCCTTGAGTACTAAAGCTATTCTCTATATCAAAGTTAGGGTTTGCAACCAAGGGAAAATATTTCTCACAAATGTTTGCATTGTCTTCTAACATTGCCTGTCCCACACTGGAAAGGTTTTAGCATTATCCAGTGAGTCGACTTTGCTTCTGAACTTACTAAGAGTCAGGAAGAGGGAAAGATAAATGAGTGATTGCTGTCTAGGTGGAATTTTGAGTTCAGTGCTGTACCTTTTATCGTGAGTTTTCTGTTCCCAGAGGAAGGTTTAGTGGAGACCAGAACCGTTCCAACTGTTGCAGGACATTGTACCGATTTTACCCTCACGTGTGGCATGAACGGCAGAGACAAGGAAACCTGGCAGAGACCTTTGAAAACAGTCCGTGGTTCCTTGCCTGTGTGCTGGTTCATGTTTATCAGCACCTATGAGGCACATGCAGGTTGAATATTCTCCTTCTGAAATGCTTGGAAACAGAAATGTTGGACCTCTTATTTAACTGGATTTTGGAACAGCTATACATACAGAGGTGTGGGGCAGGACCGGGAGTATCCATCTCCAGTTCAGGGTGCCATCCTCTTGGACAAGTGCTCAGAACATTTGTCAGGATGGGACAGGCCTGCCCGCCTCACAGGCGGAAGTGAGAGGAACAGTGCACACGTTTGCCTAGTCTGGTGACGACTTCAGACTTGACAGCTCTTTCCAGATTATCAGCTTTCCTGTGCAAGAGTGGGGAGTTTTACTGTTTCCTCTCAGGGTGGAGCTAGCATGAAAGGGAATACATCTCAAGAAGCAGAGTTTGGGCCTTTTGAAGAAGAATTTTCTACATGGAAGGCGCACGTCCAACAATTCTCAAGGCTTCAGAAACTGTCTGAGAGGGAGCAGAATTGAGGAAAATTTGAGTGAAATTGAAGTGACCCCCATCTGTTTTTTCCTCAGGAGGGTGTACAGAGCAGAGCTCTTTTACTTACCTTTTCCTGTGGTGCTGGGAATCGAACCTAGGGCTTCATGTATGCTAGGCAAGAGCTCTCCCTCCAGGGCACAGGCTCAGCCCCACTGAATTATCTTCCACCAGAGACACAGTGTAATGGCATTCTTAAATTCATGCTTTCTTGCACCAAATCCTTAATTCTTATCATTGTCCAGCAATTATAATTAATATTTTAATTAATAAGATGAATATTTAATTAGTATGAATCATTACATATTAATATAATATTAATTATTATGTAGTGGGTCATATAGTATCTGTTACCCATTTATAAGGCATGGTAGAATTTTCATAATCACTAATATGATCAATGTAATCACTCACTTTCTCCATGTAAAACACTTTGAGAAAGATCTGATACTATAATAATTGTAAGTAGCAGGCATTTAAGAGAATGTGGCAGTGGAAAATAAAATCGTTTGTGGGTGTTCTGAATGCTGTTGATATGAAACAGCTGTATTCATACGCATATCCTACATTTTTTTTTTTTTGTTAATTTAAAAATCTTCATTCTTAGTACCAAAATTAAGCAGATATATATCTCATGTTAAGTCTTGAAATTACTTTTGCCTTTAAAATGTGTATGGGTTATAAAGTGAACTTTTACTCTCTTAATTTTGAGACTCCAAATCTCCAAGTTATTGAAGTGAAAACTTTTCATGTTAGGTATAGACTAGTGTTTGGAATAATATTTTGTAATCTATGTCCACACTTCATACTGCTTCTTGTCCTGGACTGCTGTGCTAATGTTGTGGTGAAAGTGTTGCTCTTTTAAGTTTTTTGGACAAATTTTATAACTTTTCCTATTGGACATATGTGGAATACTTAAGGAGGGTCTATTGAAGTTTTGAATGCAAGATGAATTTTCCAAGTTGCTATAAATCTAGAAAATGTGAACTTTAAATTTGCTTAGGTTGTACTTAGAATTATTTTCTACCAATATTACTTTCCTTTTGGAGAGTGACATCGTGTAGCAGTGTGGGCATGGTTCATATTCGTGAACATTTCACGTGGGTGTGTATGGCAAGGGTGAGTTACACCGTTTCTGAGCAGAAAGGTCAAAGCAGATTTAGCCTGGCATCGAGTTAGGTGTATGGCATCTTGCGCTATCACAGCTCTTCCCGTCGCTTGCTGGCTATTCACCTGACTTCTCGTTGTTTCATGTTGTAGGTGGTTGCCTCTTTGACGAGCCGTACAGCACATGTGGATATAGTCAAGCTGAGGATGATGACTTCAACTGGGAGCAGGTGAACACCTTGGGCAAACCGACTCCTGACCCATGGATGCCATCAGGTTTGCTTTCTTTTTCATATCTCTTTTTCAAATAAAGCAGCACAAGCGTCGTAATCAAAGGAAATGTTTACTGGATGTTGGTGGAATGAAAGAAGGCACTGGTCTTGGAATGTGACAGTCAATAGCTGACTAGCTAGCAAGCATGCCGTCATTAAGAGGAGTGATTGCAAGAGTTTAACTTCGTACCTCTCCCTCTAAAGTTTAATTGCAGTTTACTTCCTTTATCTTTGGGTATACCTTAGCTAGATTACTAGGCATTGCCCTATTGATCTTTTCCCTAGCAGCTGATAGGGGAAATGGATGTGTTTTCTGGCCAGCGTGTCACACACATGGAACTCCAGTGGGAGAATCCAAATAACGGTCTCCACGTGTCACAGCTAGGGGACTATGGAGGTGACTTGACCTCTTTTCACCTCAGGGGCTCACTGTGTTCCTGGGATCCTAGAAGCATTCAGAAGAAACTAATGACGATGCGCAGAGGGTGCTTAGTGAATTTTCTGCTGAGTCAAAGATGTGTATTTTTCAAACACCAGCAAGAATTCAAATTCTCTTGGGTGGAAGAGCAGGAAGGTAGGGCTAGTGACCTCTAATCGTATTGGAGCTTTATCGTATTGGGCCCCTTTTCAGGCTGCCGTTGGGGCAGCCCTTTAAGATCTCAGATGTGCAGGTTGATGAGCAGCTCAGATGGTAAAGCATCTTATTCTGGGGAGGATTTCAGGTGCAACATGGTTCACACATTCTAATGACTAGAAAGCTTTTCATTAACGCACCAAATGCAGCAGTAATTACATTTAGTAAGTAGGCTTGTATGGGGAGTTTTGAAACACAAGGGAGAGTGTGGCGCTATTCTTACTAAGCTGTTATGGAGCCCACCACATTCCTAGCCCTCCTTCCAACATTTAAGTCCTTATAAAGTGGACCCTTGAGTTACACCTGGCCTGTCATGACTTGGGTTATGACTGGAATTTTAGTTTCAACTTAGGATCATAGTCTTGAATTACGACCTGAGCGCTGGCCATGTGTGCTTCTAGATGGTCTCAGGTACAGATTTAACCCTTAATGAGTTCTGGAAGGAACATTACAGCATCCTTTCCTGTAGGGGGTTAATTGAGAAGTCCTGGGCCAGGAGAGAGACTTTGAAGGCTGTGTACAGGAGCCCGAGCCTTCAGCTGACAACTTGAGTTACAGCCAGCCCTTGGAAACGAATTCAGTTCCTAAGTCAAGGTCCACTGTAGTTTGAAAGAAAGGAGCCGAGTCTTTCAGCACTGTGCTTTGCCATCTTTTGGGAGGGAACTAGATTTAGTCCTGGTAGATGGCTTCACAAAACACTTACACTTGCTTTATGGTCTTCCCATGGGATGAGATTTGTGATTTTTTTCCTTCTTGCAGGGTTAAGCATTGGAGCTAGGGCCTGGTGCACCCTAGACAAGGGCTGTGCTGTGAGCCAAATCCCCAGCTGCCAGATGTGTAATTTTTCGCATCAGGTAGTTGATTTCATCATTGTAGCACTTGAGATACAAGCCTGTTTTGGAAAAATTCACTTTAGAAGAGAAGTGCTAATACTGCAGACTCTTTGGCCTGTGTGGATCCTGTTTTAGTTGCAACATGATCCACCTCCCTTGAAAGACAGCAGAGTGACCAGTCCGGGCCCCGTCTTGTCCCTTTCTTCTTCCTGTTCACGCTTCCATCTCTGGCTGGGCCGTCGGCTTCTGAGGTGCGGAGAGCGCGGCCTCCCAGTAAACACCAGGCGTCAAGAATGGCAGTGGGGCTCGGGAACCCGGGGAGGAACGAAGTGTGGGTCTCCGCAGATTCCTGGCCTTGGCAGGGCCTTCTGCCTGGGGCCCGGTGATGTGCAGACATTTCAGTGCTCCACTTTATTCTGCTTCTGTCGACTAATGATTAATCCGGGTCTCAGAATGTTTTGTCTTCTACCACTTTTGTCGGATCCAGCTAATTTCTGCTGATCACAAAAATTATGCCCTGGAGCCCAACCAGCCACTCACCGCTTGGACTCGGGGTGGTTTGGGTGATGGTGGCAGTGTGGAGGGAGGGGCTGGTGCCTTCTTTACCCCTCTGCCCGTGTGTGTGGGGTGCAGCTGAGCTTTCTGAACATCAACCACAGCTGATTTTTGCCACAACATGGACTCCCCAATACTGATATTTTTTTCTGCTGTTCACTTACCAAACTTCAGTCACTGTAATTTTCCTTTGAGCTCTAGCATAAACTAAACATGATGATAATTACTATGGGAGAGGAAGGACTATAAGAAAGGATGGTGTCTCTCTAGGAATTCACCTACATGGGGAAAATGTTACAAAAAACCATTACTAAACAATTCAAGGCTGCACATACTGACGTGCAGGGCAAGCTGGAAGTGTTCGAGAGCAGTTGTCCCAGCATAAACCCAGTGTGTCACAACAGGAAGTGTGCTTGTGCCCGGTTGGTGACCCCCGTGGCTGAGGGAGAAGTTACATCCTCCGTGCAGCATTATCAGCAGTAAGCACCATCACTCATAAACTGATGTCTACAGGTTGAGCATCCCCTGTCTGAAAAGTAAACTTAGAAATGAGCCAAAATCTCAAAGTTCTTGAGTCCAGCCTGATGCTCCAGTGGGAAATTCTGCATCTGACCTCAAGTGACAGACAGGTCGCAGTCAGTATGCAAGTGCACTAAGAAGAGAGTTGAATGCTTAAGGTGTATTATAAATGAGTTTTGTGTTTCAATTTAGAATTTCCTAATGAGACCAAGGTGCTTCCTTAGGTATATGTAAATATTCCAGAATACGTGAAAATTGGGAATCTCAAATACTTCTGCACCCAGACATTTCAGACAAGAGCTACTCTTCCTGCCTGATGCTGAGATATGTGTGAGAACTTAGAGTGACTGTGTATAGACAGCCTGAGTTTTCAGTTCTGTTCATTTCAGGGTGTTTCCCCCTCTTTTCTCCCTGCTCATCCCCTCCTCCTTGTCCACTAGTATGTGCATTGTGATCCATTCCTTTCAAAAACACATTCTAAAGCTGGCCCTCTCCTGCAGCGTAAGCTGAGCTTTGGAGTTTCTCAGGGTGAATGGGTGGTGAAATCAGCGAACACCCATAGCTCTGTGTGGGTCCATTTGTTTAAACCTTCATTTCCCATGGGAAATGGGGATTTACTCTCCCATGTGTTCCCCAAGTGTGGACCAGGAGTTGGCAGATTGTGTCCTGCAGGCCACAGCCAGCCTGTTGGTAGTTTTGTGTGACTTTCAAGTTGCTAATGGCGTTGAGGTTATTAAATGATGAAAAACAATAATGCACACATTTTGTGACGTGTGAAATTCAAGTCTCGGTGTCCATAAACAGAATTTTACGGGCACGCAGCCACGCCCGTGTATTCAGATCCTGCCTGTGGCAGATTCAGACTGTAAAAGCTGAATAGAGGAGCTGAGAGGAAGATTGGTCTGCGGAGCCCACCGTAGTTGCTGTCATAGTTACTCTGGCTCTTCACTGGGAAATTTTGTGACCTCCACCTGACACCATTTTGGCATCAGCCAAACATTGCTGTTTGGAACTCTTCTATTATTTCCTGTATTCATACTAAATTATTATAATATGAATAATAACATCATTCCACAAAGATTAGGAGTTTTCTCCTTCTCTTAAATTTTTGTCTGCTGAAAGAGCCTTGCAGTTTTCTTTCTCATTTAGTACCCAATCTTTGTCGCACTACTGTGATTCTAATAAGTAAGGAGCCCATCAGATGAATTTAAAAAGGGTGACAGAGACTAAAGTTTTCACCCCAGGTTATACCTTTTTACCTTTTCCGTGCCCTTTTTGAAGTCATTGTTCCAGTGTTTTAAATAAAATGCTGCAGAACTTGTTTCTTTGTATTTTCATGCATAGTGTTATTTTTAACCACACTTTAAACAATTTAAATACTCTGGAACTTTGTACAAGCTGAACTGATAGCTACTCTTAGGCAGCAGTGTTAGCTCTGAAAATGCATATTTAGGACAAATACATACCAAATGCCATTTAAATGTTTGTATTGAAAGTCAGCATTTATGTAACAGGAGATTAGACTTCTGCAGCTAGCGCTGAACTGTAACAATTTTTCCAGTTGTGAAATTACTCTAAGCCAGCCAAGCTCCCTCCCTCCGTCCCTCCCTCCGTCCCTCTCTCCGTCCCTCTCCCTCCTTCCCACCCTCCTTTCCCCCCCTCTCTCTCCCTCCCTCTTTTCCTTTTTTCCTCAGAGCCTTCACACTGAACTATATTTTAAATCTGTTTTTTATTTCTTATTTTGAGGCAGGGTCTTAAGTTACTAAATTGCCCAAGCTAGGTTTGAACTTGCAGTCCTCCTGCCTCAGCCTCCCCAAGTGCTGGGATTATAGGTAAGCACCGCCATGCTGGGCTCCTAGTCTGTTTTTTATTGGTAAGTATGCAGTTCGCTTCATAAATTGATTTTACCTACTAGCAATGGGGAAAATTTATAAACATCCTCATAAAGGTTACTAGCTTGATGAAAAACCGAGAAACCTGCATTAAGAATCTAAAGAATAACCAGAATGCTTTGTTAGCACTACTGCATGTCCCCTCTGGATACTACAGCAAATTGTGTAATTATCACGCAGACTGAGTATTGACTATGAAGTGTTTTATGTTGTGAAAATGCCTGCCTACTTTGACAGTGGTTGATGTAGTTATAGTTTGTTACTGGGTAATATTTGCATCTTGCTACTCCTGTTCTGTAGAATTGATGTTTAAAAAAGTTCTATGGTTCACGTATAAAAAATGCAAACCTGTTTCATGAAAAAGAGAATGAGTTAATAATAAACTTGTCCATAATCTCAACAATGTAAAGGTGTCCTATAGCATAGCTATTTGATATTGATAGAGTTGATATTTATGTGCCTCATTGCCTTCTTAGGATCTCAGAGCTCTAGAAAGACCACCGTGAAGTGAATTTGGGTCCTGATGCCGCGAAAAGAGAATTCTCTCAGTTCCGGCGCGGGCAGTGTGCCT